AAAATTTAATTTGAAATGCACTCTTGGAATGCCTTTTCCTTGAAAGCAATGCGTGCTGTTTCTGTTCCGCTGAGTCCCGCGGGAATCCCGGTGAGGAGTGTGAGGCTTGGCTCTGGGGACTCTCACTTCCCTTCCAGCAGGCTCCCTTCTCAGTGTGAGGAACGTCTTTCGCCTGTGAGGGCCAGGAGAGGTTCTTCCCCAGCAGAAAGCCTGCTGGCACGTTCTGTCACGTGGAGCTGTAGCAGTAGAGCGGAGTTGGGAAAGGACAGGGCAGAGCTTGGCATTTTGCGGAGAGTTGCGGATTCGGTAGTTTATCTTTGTGTTGACGCCGACTTTGCGCTGCGTGCCGGAGCCATGCAGTTTGTGTTCCTACCTTTCCCCTCCATCGCTTCCCACCCACCTTTGGAACTGGGAGCCACAACCTGGAGCCCAGGAATAGCTTTTACCAACTCTCTGAATTCCCAGGTGGAGATTTTGTGTTTATATGCACTTACCTTCTCTAAAGAAAAAGATAATGCATAGATTGCATTCAGTCCTTTGGTTGTTTGCTGTACTAACCTCATTTTTTAGTTAAGGAAAAGAGATCTCAGAGTTGAGGTACTTTCCTGAGATCACAGAGCCATTCTGCAGGTGCTGAAATTCTCATGTGGGGAATGGACCCAGCTGCCTGACATGACACCCCGGGGTGTTTCCTCTGCACCATGGTTGTCTGCTGCCAGGAATAAGAGGAAGAGGGTGGGGATAGGACTGATCTAGTGTTGGTTAGGAAACTGGATTGAAGGTCACAGTTCTTAGTGAATCCCCAGGGAAACTGCCCAGTCATTGCTTGTTTCACTTTCTCCTTCATTCAGAGATGTGCACCAGTATCTCTCTCTTCCTAGTTCATTTCAGATGGAAACACCGTGACATGAGTTCTTCCTAGCATTCTTCTTGTTAGAGTGTACATGTAACCCTTTGCATTTTTCTGAGAAATTTGACTTGTCATAAATTTTCTTAAAAGAAAAATTTCTTAACTCGCCCATAGGGAAACACCAAGATGCATATAGATGGTGACAGGAGTAAGCTTCTTGGCTTGTGACAGGAGGTCCCAGGTGGCAGAAGAGGGAAAATCAGAAATAAAATGAGGTCTAGGGATATTTTCAGAGGAGCAGTGCGAGGCCAGGAGGAGTCACACTAGCTCAGGAATGGGCCTAGTTTACTTCTTCTTCACCCAAGGTATCTGCTGTGCGGTGATTAGTAAAGAGGGTTCGAATCGGGGTGTGTGTGTGTGTGTGTGTGTGTGTGTGTGTGTGTGTGAATGCATGTGTGTGCTGGTATGGTGAGGTTCTATGCAGCATTGGTTTGAGGAAGGAGATTAGCAGCACGTGATAATTGCAGTAGCTGCACATCAGGCAAAACTCTGAAATTTGAATGACTTAAAAATGTATTGCTCACTGAGGTAAAGGCCCATGGAGGCTGAGAACCTCTTCTTCTTGGTAACTTTACCACCTGAACATGTGGCCTCTAAGGCTCCAGTGGCAGGAAGAAGGGTGACAGCGGCACGAGAGTTCTTTTGTGTTCGTTTTTGTTTTAGTGGAGAGAGATCATATATTTGACAAGTGACCCATTGAAATTGCAGCCTTCCTTGGTTTTTAATATGTTACCAGAATTGTGAAACCATTACTACAAGCAATCTTAGATTTGTATTACCCAAAGAGACTCCATAGACATTAACACTCACTCTCATTTCCCCAAACGCATCCCAGTTCCTTCTTGTCTGCATGTGTTTATGCTCGTGGTATGTATATGTTTAAAACATACAATTACAAATACACATACACACATATGTGTTATATAATAGAACATAAAAACACAGTGTGTATATATACATCCTGTATACAAGCATATGCATATATCTGTGTAAGAATATACGTGTGGAATGGTCCTTAATGCCTTTTAAAATCTCAAGTTCCACACCACATCTTTCTTGATTTATTTTATATTTTCAAATAAAAGAAGCTTCCCACCTTTTTAAATTCTCCCCCTTCCCTCAGGCCCCATATACGTCTTACCTATTTCAGTAATAGTCCCCAGTTATTAGATCCTACATGCTGTTTAGTTACTGAGAGACACTGGCTCATTTTTTTCCTAGATACAGCCTTCTTGAAAACAAAATAATCTGTTTGTTTCAAAGTTATCTCTTTCTTTCTTCCCTGAATGTTAGGATTCATTGCTGATATTGTTCTCCATGTAAATATGCATCATACATTGAAATGTATTTATTTTGGCAATTTTAATTTCTTCATATGATTGATGATTGTCTTTGATGATGTTTCATGCCTAACATTTTACATAAGGAAATAATATTGGCGGTACCAAAGAATCTACATTCCTGATAAACAGTACTAATTAAGTACAGTAGCAGCTTTTTGTTTTCTCTCCCCAGTGTCAATAAACAATGGTGAATTTAGGAGGTGTCTATAATGCTGTAGAAAACATGTTGGAGATCTGCAGAATTAAGGGGTAATTTGGAGCAGTTTACCCAGCTCGAAGAACTAAAAAAAAAAAATTGTTTCTTTTCCTTTTAAGTGTCATAAAAGTGGACATTTGTGTCAGTCACCTTCAGATGTTTTCCTGTGTTATTTCTGACATGATCCAGAGCTGTTACTCTAAGGATAATTATACATTTAAGAGACTCTACAGTCCTACCCTTTGCTTAGAGTGTGCTAGTGTCTCTGATATGTAAATTTTAAAGGGAAAGCTGGCTGTGGTGTACTTGAAAACGTACCAACATTCTGGCCTCGAAAACAGAAAACCTAGGTTAGGATTCTGCCTTAACCACTCACCAGCCGTACAGCCTGTGTAGCCAGCTTATCATTGTGATATTTACCTTCTTCTCTGTGAATTGTGTAGCAGTCTTGACCTCAAGAGGGTCATGCTTGCCTTCAAAGTCGCCAAGTCAGTGGAGCTACCTGGCATGCGTCAGGTACTTATCTTTTTTTTTTCCTCTTACAGTAATTGTTAGTTCACAATAGGGAATTTATATATAAAGCAGGTTTTACAATTCAGTAGTGACTCATGAAAGAAAGAAGCTTGTGTGCATACATTCACTGTCTTGCATGTATTTAGTCTAAGATCTCAGGGAAATTTAACACCCAGATTGACAGAGACTTTGCCTAAAGCAAGTCGAAAATAGCTGGGAAAATATCTGTTATTCTAGTCCTTTTTTTATTTTTGAAAAAGGTGTTATTGTTATTTTAATTTTTAAAATATATATATTTAACATATAAAACTTTATATTTGAAAAATAAGAGCAAGTGGGCGTTGCAGTATAGCTGCGTTAATATTTGGATGTATTTCCTTCTAGTCTTCTTCCTAGGTATAGAGGGATTTGATTTGTTCAGTTTAATTATACTGAGCAGATTTAGTTGTACATGTACATTTGAGACAAGCCCTGCCTGGAGATGGGAGGGAAGTAACAGGAACTTTTCCAAAGGACAATCTGGATGCAGGTACGAGACTGCTCCCAGAATATGAGATCCCCACTCATGAGGAACACGTTTGCATTTTAGCTTTGTCCAGAGTCTGTAGGAAAGGACATCCCTGTACCCTCTGTCTTGGAAATACCGTTCCTAGTGCCATTTTCATTAATTCTGCCTCACTTGGACGATACTTCCCATACTCCTCTTGTCAGGAGTGGATAGATACCATCTTTACTGAGTCTTTGAATTTCTAGTATCATTGACTGTGTTTGCTTGTGAGAGATAACAATCATTTTCACTTCCTTGACCATTATTTCCCAAGGTATATTCCCTGAAAAATAAACATGGTATAATTGAATATTATACACAAAAGCAATTCGAATTAGAAGTGTTCAGGCAATGTAGACCTACATAAAGTTTCTTCTTAGAGCCTACCATTCTGAAGTGCACTGTGAGATGTGTTGGCTAACTACCATTTCCTGATCTTATTTGGTCATGGAAATCTTTCTTCTAAGAACATCTTGCGGGATTTTGTTCTTCAGCAATACTTTTGGGAAATGGTGATAAACATATTGCTCTATTTTCTTCTGGCATTTAATTTTGGTCTGTAGGAAATCTGAGGCCAGCGTGATTTTTTTGTTTCTTTCTAGATAACTCCTCAACACCTGCTTGAAATTGTATAGGGCTCTTTTTATTACTGTTCTAAAAATGACAAAGACAAAAGGCAAACAGCTCTGCGTGTGTATTCAGAAAGAGTCTAGACGTGCAGTCTCTGTGGCAAAGGAACTGACAGGGATGACAGAGCAAGCAGAACAGTTTGCCTCAAAAACCAGCACCCCCTTCCCAGTTGGCTGATTATTTCAGGCCTTGTATTTCTAATTCTGCCGGAAAACACTGGGAGAGGAGCCCACCCCTGATTTCAGTGGCACCGTGGCGTGGAATATACGGGGGCCCTCCATTGTATTTTCCATGTCATCACTCTTAAGAGCCTGTATCATCACGGAAAGCTCCATGGGATTCACGTGTTGCCCAGATATTGGAGTTGAGCCTGGGAGCTGTTTCTAGCTACAACTCCATCTTCAAATTTATTTTAGAGCCCACTTAGAAGCACCTTGCTTGACAGAACTTAAAAACCAGTGTCTTTGTTCCCCAAATGTTCTAAATTCAGTGGAGGCAACAGCGCTTACATTTTTGTGCCACTCCTCACTGGTGATAGGTGTGTTCTCAGGGTCAGCTGACACCTTCACTGCCCTTGAGTGGTACCAGAATAATTTGATATTAAAATAATAGTGCTTGGGATTTGGTATTTCTGGTTCTTCATAGAAATGAAGCTAAAAGACCAACTGAAAAATTCATATCAGGGTTATAAAAACTACCAGCCTCATAGGGCTGACGTATTATATAAGCTAATTATTATGTGAGTACAGCACTTAAAATAGTACCAAACACATAGAGACGTTCTTATCTAATGTCACTATGTGTAATATAAGGTTATTGGTTTGACCTTAATTAGATTTACTTTTCTGTCTTACTTGGTAGGTCAAACTGTGCTGAAAATATCCGCAAACACATTCTGCATACTGGCAAACACGAAGGAGTCAAGATGTACAACTGTCCCAAGTGTGACTATGGGACCAACGTCCCTGTGGAGTTCCGGAACCATTTGAAGGAACAGCATCCTGACATCGAAAACCCAGATCTTGCTTACCTGCATGCTGGTAAGGGACAGAAACTGTGAAAGTACTTGTTTTTAACAGGATTTCATGTAATCACAGCAGTTATAATGCTATTTGTACATTTCCATGATTTATTATAATGGAGTAGAGTATGTGATAGTATCTGCTTCAAGACCTGTAAAAAAGTACATTCCAGTTTTATCCCACTCAACTATGAAAACAGGACTTTTCAACCATATTTTATCAAAAAGCAAATCTGACAAAGTAATTATTCTATGACTGTAAAGTTAATATTAGTAAATATTTAAAGCATCGTTGACCTGAAATGAGAGTAGTTGTTAAATCTTCATATTTTGACTAATTGCTAAAATTTTTTTTCTCAAAAAATGCTTGTGATTTGAAATGTTATGCCCTGTTTCTTGACACCATCATCTTCCAGTGAATGCCTAGAAAGAATGTGACCTGCGACCACGAAGTCAAGCGTCGTGGGTGGTAACGGTGCTGTGCGTCTCCCAGAAATTGGGAGGGGGCTGGCCCTGGGTTTGGGGAAGAGCTGGTGATGGGAGCGGCTGCTAAGAGGATTCTTGCCTCTTGGGTGGCAAGTCAGGCACTCTGGAAGGCGTCAGCGATGTGGGATGTGGCAGCAACTGCAGAGTAAAGCAGATCCGTTCCTCCAGCCCGACATGTTGTTTAATTGGCAAGTATTCCTTGGTGCCAGCTCTCACCGTACAGAGCAGCAGAATGATGGATTATGGGTGAGAGGACCTATTTGAAGAGGTACTTACCCTGAAGTAAATTTAGAGAAGCCTTCCAAGATTTAACCCAAGCAGCAGAGTTTGAATAAGGCCCATTGATCAAGCATGTGCTTTAGGCAGATGTTTTGGGACCTGTTAGAGCTGCTTTTAAACCCTACTTCTCATTATTGGCCATATGACCTCAGGCAGGCTGACCTCACCAGGCCCCAGGTTTCCCATATGTAAATCTGCTTGATAGTACCTACTAATAGGGTCATCGTGAGAATTTTAAAAGATAATGGCTATGAAGCTAGAAGAGTCTAGGAGTTTGAATGAACTATCCCTAGTGCCTGCTGTGCTGCTGTAGGCGTGAACGTTTGATGCCTCTCTGTGCCATATGAAGGGGTAGTTAGCAGTGGTACGAATGTGGGGATTGTGATATAAATCACACCAGAAATGTGAGGTTCCAGCTTCAAAATCTTAAGCAATGTTTGCTTGCAAAATATCTATGTTAAAAGGAACGTGAGTAATTTAAGGTAGACTAGTTTTCTTAATACATTTGACACTACGGAGATAGAGGCTTATTACTGTTCTTTCATATTTCTCAATTGATGTTCATATGACTGACTTATTTAAGTAATGTCTAGTGTGTGAGTTAGTAATTTTTCTGCTATCTGGGGCTGTATTTGGCAAACAGACAAAACCAGAGGTCTCTGCTCATTCACTTTTGGTGAGGTTGTCACTGAAAAAGGTTTTGAAACTAGACAGTTTATCAGCTTTAGTTCATAAAAACAGATAAAGTCGAGTTGAAATATCTCTGGCCATTGAGTTGAAATATCTCTGGCCATAAGTGCCTATGGGTTCTTCATAAATATGGACCCATAACCTTACAGATACCAGAATCACCACCTGTGAAGGAGCTGCTCCTAGCAGTGGCCAGGCCACAGGGACGAAATCCATGGTGGGCATCAGCAAAGTGTCCTCCTTGAGGTGGCCTTGCTCTGCCTCCTTTCCAGGTAGAAGATTGACATATCTGTCTCTCTCTTCTATTATACCAGTTACACATGAAAAACGATTGTTCCCTAAAGTACAGTGAGTTAATAAGAGAAAAATAAAAACGTTACTTATCTTAAAAAAAAAAAAAAAAAGACTGTAAATACTGTGATTTGGTTGAGATAATGTAAAGTTTAGTTGAGATAATATTTGGGAATTCATGTATTAAAGTGAAGTATTTTATTTTTTATTTGAAAACAGTTCTGCCGAAAGAGGTTTGTGTGCAAATGTGCTTGTGCTGTACCCTTGGTATCTCTACATTGGTGTATAACTGCAGTTATGTGATGTAATTCACACAAATAACACAAAACTGGAGTTCAGTGGAGACCCTCATTCAAGTCTCTGTGTAAACACAAGTGTCTCTGAGCTTCAGATTCCTTATTGAAGAGTCTAGGAGTTTGAATGAACCATCCCTAGTCCCTGCTGTGCAGCTGTAGGCGTGACCTTCCGGGAGGATGGGCTCCAACTTAAGCTTGATCATTCTCTTGATGTCTGGTCCTGAAAACTGCATTTTAACCCTGTGGGTCTCAGTCGTCCTCCAAAGATGGAGATAGTGATGCCTACCACACAGAATGTGTGTGCCATCTAAATGGGATCATTTATAGTATATGTAAACTGTTTGACGTGATCATCTTTAGCATAAATGGTTGCTCAGTTTGTTTTTCCCTCTGTAGCAGAAGTTGATGATTCATTGTGTTTTTTTCTCAATCCTTTTTGGCAACCAGTAAAATGATTTTTGTATCATTTTCTATTTCATATTCCAGAGCATGAAAGACTCTATGTGAGTTCTAATTTTAGTTGTAGCCGGGTAAGAAGCACAAGACAAAAGTGGTTTTTTTAATTTTTATTTTTTTACTTTTTATTTATTTTTATTTATTTGTTTATTTTTTATTATACTTTAAGTTCTAGGGTACATGTGCACAACATGCAGGTTTGTTACATATGTATACATGTGCCATGTTGGTGTGCTGTACCCATTAACTCGTCATTTACATTAGGTATATCTCCTAATGCTATCCCTCCCCTTCCCCCCACCCCACAATAGGACCCGGTGTGTGATGTTCCCCTTCCTGTGTCCAGGTGTTCTCATTGTTCAATTCCCACCTATAAGTGAGAACATGTGGTGTTTGGTTTTCTGTTCTTGCGATAGTTTGCTGAGAATGATGGTTTCCAGCTGCATCCATGTCCCTACAAAGGACATGAACTCATCCTTTTTTATGGTTGCATAGTATTCCATGGTATATATGTGCCACATTTTCTTAATCCAGTCTGTCATTAATGGACGTTTGGGTTGGTTCCAAGGCTTTGCTATTGTGAATAGTGCTGCAGTAAACATACATGTGTGTGTCTTTATATCGGCATGACTTATAATCCTTTGGGTATATACCCAGTAACGGGATGGCTGGGTCAAATGGTATTTCTCGGTCTAGATCCTTGAGGACTTGCCACACTGTCTTCCACAATGGCTGAACTAGTTTACAGTCCCACCAACAGTGTAAAAGTGTTCCTGTTTCTCCACATCCTCTCCAGCACCTGTTGTTTCCTGACTTTTTAATGATTGCCATTCTAACTGGTGTGAGATGGTATCTCATTGTGGTTTTGATTTGCATTTCTCTGATGGTGAGTGCTGATGAGCATTTTTTCATGTGTCTGTTGGCTGCATAAATGTCTTCTTTTGAGAAGTGTCTGTTCATATCCTTTGCCCACTTTTTAATGGGGTTGTTTTTTTTTTTCTTGTAAATTTGAGTTCTTTATAGGTTCTGGATATTAGCCCTTTGTCAGATGAGTAGATTGCAAAAATTTTCTCCCATTCTGTAGGTTGCCTGTTCACTCTAATGGTAGTTTCTTTTGCTGTGCAGAAACTCTTTAGTTTAATTAGATCCCATTTGTCAATTTTGGCTTTTGTTGCCATTGCTTTTGGTGTTTTAGACATGAAGTCCTTGCCCATGCCTGTGTCCTGAATGGTATTGCCTAGGTTTTCTTCTAGGGTTTTTGTGGTTTTAGGTCTAACATGTAAGTCTCTAATCCATCTTGAATTAATTAAAATAATTCAGATTATGTTCTGTAAAAACAGTAAATTTAAGAAGTCAATTTGTGTTATTAGTTCAATAGTTTAAGAAAAAAATGACTAGAAAGTCTCAAACTGCCTGGAAATGGAATATTACGTTTACAAATAATAATCCATGGTTAAAAAAAATAAACAGCCCAAAGTTGCTTTATTTTTTTTAACCATGGATTATTATTTGTAAACGTAATATTCCATTTCCAGGCAGTTTGAGACTTTCTAGTCTTTTTTTTTAAACTATTGAGCTAATAACACAAATCGACTTCTTAAATTTACTGTTTTTACAGAACATAATGTGAATTATTTTAATTCTTTAAAAATTTGTGTAGACTGTTTTATGCCCAGCAAATGGTAAGTTTTGGTAAATTTTTGAGACACCTGAGGAAAGAATACTTGGCACCAGTGATATTTGTTCCCGGTATGTCAGTTACAATGTTTAGTTTGTTCACTGTGTTGTTCAGATTGTCATATTCTTAGTGCTTTTTAAGATGCCGGTTCTGTCAGCTGTTAAGAGGAGTATGTTAAAGTTTCCTACTATAATTGTGGATTTATCTTTTAAAATTCTGTTATTTTTGGCTTTACATATTTTGAAGATATATCACTAAGTACTCAGGACTTAGGGTTGTTTTAGATACAGACATGCACACATAATTATGAAATACTTCTTAGTAGCAATATCTCTTGCCGTAATTCTGAGTTTCATATTGGTATACCTATACCAGATTCCTTATAAGCAGCTTATAGTTGTATTTTGTTTATCTGCTGGGGCAATTTTTATCTTTTACATTAAATATTTAGTCTTTTACTTTAGTATTTGTATTTAATGTAATTATTGGTATATTCATCATAGTCAAAACTCCAGAATACCCTAATGTCCCTCAAGCAGAATGTACAAAGGTTGTATATTCACATAATAGAATACGTCAGTGAGAATGAATGAACTACAAGTACAAGCAACAATGTGAAATAAGTCTCACAGTCATATCATTGGATGAACCAAGCCAGTCACCAAGGAGTACGTTTTATATGATTGCATTTATATTAAATATAAAAACAGATAAAACTACTCTATGATGTTAGAAGTCAGAGTTTATTTTCCCTTGTGGGCACCAGTCGCTGAATAAAGTACAGTGGTGCTAGTAAGATTCTGATTCTTAATCCCAGTATTGAGCCATGGTTGTGTTCAATTT